ATTTCTATTTATATTTTGATGAGGATTAGCAACAAATCTTTGCAATCATCAATTCTTCAAGAGCCAATGTAAAACTTGTTGAAACCTTCTATATGTAGCTAACTTTACCTAGTGGACAATACTTGATTGTTATTGTAAGTGTTTGGTCTTAAAGCTGTTTCACAATTTAGATTTAGTTCCTATAAATTTTTTTGATAGAATTTAATTTCTACTTTTTTAAAAACTATTGTTTTTAGTCTATTTTGATTACGTGGTCAATTGAGATATGCCAAATATATCATAACAAAATATTTTATAAAGACTAAATCCAGATTGTGCAACTTTTATGAAGATTAAACATTTAATTAGATCTATATTTTTTATATGATATATCAATTTTTATAATATCTTTAAAAAATATTTTTTCTCATATAAGAATGAAATATTTATTATACTAAAGATGTCAAATTATACTATTACTCAAAATTTTAGAAGACAAACTTTATTACATAAATGAATTCGTAAATTTTTTTGTCATGATATAAATAAATAATTTTTATTATATTAATTCAAAATTTCATTAGTTAATATTTTTGGTACTTTTTCTATCAATTAACGAAAAAAATTACTAAACATATCTACCTTTTTTTAAAAAAAAACAAAACTAAATATACTTAGATATTTATTTTAATCATAATAAATTTTTTTTTATCATATATGAATTATTTTTAGTATTTTTTTTAACATTAAATGATCTTTGACTTAAATATACATTTTTTAGTATTTTTAAAAATTATTATTTTTTATATGATGACTCATTTTTAATTTTTTTAGATAAGTTTATCAAAAATATTTTTTATTTATGATTAAAATATATCTTTGATCCATGTAATTGACATATATTTATGAATTAATTTTTATATTTTAAAAAAACTTATTTTTTAATCCATCTATGAGTATTTTATTATATTTTAATTTTTGTCATCATAACATTGTTAATACGTTGATAAAAGAGAGTAAAACGTAATAAAACTCTTATAAAAATTAAAACATGATTTTTAAGATGTAAAAACTATTTTATAAACTATGTCAATTTTTATTACAAAATGTATAACTTAATTATTTTTTAGCAAAGGAGTTATAGGATTGATCGAAGAATATTGTAATATTAAAGATGAGTTTTATCTTTATTAATTTTATTATTCACTGATTCATTGTATTTTTTTATTAAAATAAATGTTATTATTTATTATTAGATTGATTCTAAGTTTTTAGTTAGAAACGAATTTTAATTATTTCTTAAGCCCTTTATAAAAGAAAGTTTTATTGTTATTATTTTTATGTGTATTTTATTTTAATATTTTAATTTAAAATAACATTATTTACCTTCATCGTAATTTTTTTACTTTTGGATCACTTTTAAATATCTAGTCAAACTTTATAAATTTTATTTATTATATATTTTATTTTTTAAGATAAATTTCTTCTTTATTTTTGGACTAATTTTATCTTTTTATCAAAAGAAAAGAGCAAGTCATAAAATTTTGAAAAACAAAATTTTTATTGAAACTCTTATTGTTAAATTTATTTCTTTCAAAATTTACATTGAACTAAAAATAAATATCAATCAGTAGAATACGTTTGAATCTATTATTTGTTCATTATTTTTATTTCATTTTAATGAACATGGATTAAATAGTAAAAATCATTATATTTATTTAAAATTTCTTAGTTTTAATTCCTAACAAATAATTAGCTAAAATAGTTCAAATAAAATTAAATATTCATAATAAATTATTTATATTTTGTTAATTTATTTCTTAAAATATCTAACTTTTATATTAATTAATCATCATTGATATTTTATCTCTTGAAAAAGTTTATTGGAAAAAACATAATCAAATTTAAATAAAAGTATTATATTCAAGTTATAATACTATTATTTTTATTATTATTAAAAAAATGTACAATACAATATTTAAAGGTAATGCAATCAAAATATAACATGTAGTTGTATAATACACATTTGAATATTTGGTAGGGTCTATCAATAATTTTGAAGTTTTTTATTTGGTAAAAAAGAAAAAAATAAATTATAAAATATGTAAATTATTTAGAACTAAAAATTTAGAAATTGTATTTAGAGGATCACTTGTAGGATGAAAAAGATTTATATTAAAAAAAGTGTCAAATGAGTTAATTTCTACTGAATTAACCTTCAAAGAAAATGACATATGAATATATGAAAAAAGTTTTATATAAAATGATGAATATTCTACAAAATAAAACATATTTCAAGAAAAACTAATCTTGATTTGTTTCATATAAGGTTCGTTGTTTCTAAACTTTATATTCTAAAATCACATCATGATAACTTTTTAATATGTCAAAGTGAAGATTCTAAAAGATTATTTTTAAATCAACACAGAGAGTAAATTTGTTATCATAAAAAAAAATAAACAATGTTATCTATTTATGATTATAATATTGTATAACATCACCACAATCCATATAATTCGTCCTACAATTACTATCCACCTTAATTTTATAATAGTCAAAGGATGTGAATTCCATGACATTTTTGAGAAAATATGAGTTCGAGGGTTAACTTGTTTGAAATTAATAAACAACTTAAACTATCTAATGAAATTCAAAACATGATAGATAATTTATTTCTCCTCATCAAGGATAATATTATTCCTTCAATGCCAAAGCCACCAAAGAATGGATAAATAGAAAATACAATCTCTATGCCAAGTTCAGGTAGCAATCTAATTAGCAATAGGTCATGAAAATTAAAATCAACAAATGACACTTCAAGATAAACCAAACTTCTTTAGAATAAAAATAATATTTAAAACAGTGATTAATGTCTTTAAAATCATAAGAACATCTAAGTTAAGAGTTTGAGGAAGTAAAACCACAATGGTGATACAAAACATTAATGAGCAAAGATCCAGACCAATAAGTGAAATGAAAAATATAACTTTTGCTATTACTAGCAATTTTCAAACTCAATTAAGATATGAAATTGGTAAAGGGTTGAATCTCAAATTATTGAGCCAAACATAAGTTGCTTTTGTGGGATAAGTCTCTTTTGCATCTCCTCAATACCATACCATTGGTCTTCAATACTTCTTCTGTCTGTTGGTCCAAGAAGTTGACATATATATTTATCCTTTAGAATGCTTTTCCAAACAGTAGTCACCCATAACGGATTGTCTTTTATATATTTATTCTTTTTTTTTGAACCCATAATTTAAATTTATCTTGTAAAATACCTCATACCAATTTACTTGCAAGAGAGATATTAATCCTTCGCATATCACAAACTTTGAAGCTACCTTATTTTTTAGGAGAATTTTTTTCAGCTAACTAGATGAATGTCACGGTCTGAATTACAAGAAGACAAATAAAATCTTTAACTACCTTATTGATATAATGACAAATAGATTGAGATAACCATCAAATATACATAGAATAAATAGGAATATAAGTTAAGACATATTTGTAAACAAAGTTTACCAACTTTATTAAGTAGTTTCCCTTTCTAAATTGTCATCCTTTGTGGATTTTCTCGAGTGAAGGAGGAAAACTTATCTATTCAGTCTATTTTTTATCAATGAAAAGCCAAGATATGTTCCTAGATTTGTAACAAAATGATTGAAAGTGTGAGACCATAGAAAATATCATGCTTTTGGCGAGAGATCCCTTCCAAATACAATACCTTGGATTTGTCAAAAGTTGATTTTAAGACTAGAGACATCACAAAATTTTTGAATCAATGTGGTAACATTTTATACGTAAGTGTTTTTAACTTTACAAAAAAGAAAGACATTGTCAACAAATAAAAGATAAGTGATATTAGAGTCATTCTTAGATAGATGAATAGGTTTCCATAACTCCTCCTCCTCTATTTGATTTATCAATAAATAAAGTTTCTCCATGCAAAAAATAAAAAAGTAAGGAAGAAGTGAATCATTTTGTGTAAGACCCCACCTTGGTTGGAAAAGTCTTCAAGTTAAACATTAAAATCTATGTAATAGATAAGAAGGAAGGTGCCTATATACTACATGAAGAAAAACAATACGAGTTAGTATGTCAACAAGAGTTTAACAAAGAAAATTTCAACTAATATTGTCATGTCTTCTCTTGATCAATCTTCTTAGTAGTATTTTTGTATATTATTATTTTTTCCGGTTGATAAGAAAGTAGAGTTTTAAAGAAGATGACAATTTCTTTTATTTTAAATATATATTTAAAATTATTTAAAAAAAAATAAAATATAAATTGATATATTAACATAAATTTAATATATTAATAATATATTTATTATTATAGATGATATATAATTCTCCTAATTTAAAATTAAAAAATATAACTTTTTTTTTCTTTCAAAAGCCGTCTCACAAACATACCCTGCTATGCACAAAATTTAATTATGCGCCCAACTAACGAACTGTGACTTAGCAAAATTGGAGCTGCATAGATTCCGGACCATGTAAAACATAATTGCGAGTTCAAACATAATTGGATGTCTGAGATGTCATTGCATGATAGGTTTTCCAAGAGAGTGTATTAAAACTCTAAATTGGAATTATGGTTACACTTTTACTGTAAATAGGAATTTCAGTATGCCATCAGAGAAGTGTACAGGAGAGGGAGAGATTATAGGGACCAAAGATGTAGAAATTCCCCATAAACTACAGAAACAAAAAATTCCCCGTAAACTATAGAAACAGAAAATTTACAATGTCCAGAAACCCCACAGGAGCTTCAACTTCTTTACAAATATTTGAGGAACGAAGCCTATATCAGCTATTCGTGTGTGGATATGACTGATTTGTATATTTTATTTAGCTATACAGATACATTTAAGTTATATGTATGAATCATCTGACCCTTAAATTCTGCAAGGCCATAGTTTCCAAAATTATTAGAAGAGTTTCCAATTTCGATAACTGAAAATGGGATTAGCTAAGTGTTTTTCAGGTCAAAGTACTGTATAAGCTATTATGTTGAAACGACTGACAAATAATAATGAATTTCAGTAATATAAGAGCTTAAATATATCATCTCTCTTTGGATACTACTTTTAATAACTATTGCTGCTCCAAGACATAACTAGCATAGTTTTGGCATTGATAATCTAGTTTGCATCAGGATTTCAGTATGAATGGTTGTTCTAGTAACTATAAGACCCTCAAGCTCTTAAGCTAATATGGATATTTACAGGCATTGCTATCTGACCAACCCATTCTTTCCATGAGCAACCTGGACAACCAAAGGACTTGTGACTTGTGATCTTCTAGTCCTCCATGACAAGAACCCAAATACATATCCTTTTGAGGGAGCAGTCACTTTGAAATTCACAGTGAACATTAGTTTTTGTCCAATTCTTGTGAAGATCAACTTGTTTGGCACAACAGTGACATTAATGCCAGGGGGAGAAGACACTACAGCTTTATACACACTTCTTGCTTTTCCAACATTAGTCACAATCCTGGTAACTGAAAAGTTGTCTTTAAGATTTGGCACTGCAATAGATGGATAGTTGAGGTCAGATGCGGTACTGAATGCCCTATCACACGTGCTGTTGTCTCTTGTAACTAGATGAAGCGATCGCTGATCATAACCAAGTGAACAGAGGAATGCAACAAAATCAGCTGGCTCAGAATCATAGATGAGACCAGGGTCAAGCACTCTTGCAGGGTTGACAAACCCTGATCCATAATCAAATGCATTTGCCCTTCTTTGTTCAGGATCTGCACTGATGGGTCTGTGGTGCTTGTCTAGAATTGTAGCTGCATAATGAATTTACGATTAGTTTCTTGAGTGGAAGAAGCCAGTGCACTGCAAGGTATGGATAGAGTAGAATTCTTAATGTGAAGAGTACTAGAAACATAGTCTCTAACATGCTCTTTCTAATAATACTCTTGGTTATTGGTTAAAATTTATTAGAAACTGCAAAAGCATGAGGAAGTCTCATTAAATTAGATGTGAGACTCATAATTTTGTAATTTTCAATAAACTTCAATCAATAACAATGAGTGCGTTTGAAAGAGTGTTGATAGCATTTCTCTTCTTAATATTGTTCCGACATTAATTAACAAATGAAGTTTAATTTATTATAAAGTTTTGTTTCAATTTGTCTAATTAAGAATGATCTTTAACCAGGGTTATTATATAGTCCTCCGGAAAATGATATTAATATTGAATTATTGATGTATGTGTTACCATACCTGTTGTCATGATGGCAGATTTAATTGCAGATGGAGACCAAGAAGGATGGACAGCTTTGACTATGGTCGCAATTCCAGTTACATGAGGACAAGCCATAGAAGTTCCTGAGAGAATGTTGAACATGTTTCCAGCTGCTGGAGACCATGCTGCAAGGATATTTAGTCCTGGAGCTGTGACATCAGGCTACATAGCAAGTAGCAACAGCAGCACAATCAGAAGTCCACGAATGAAGTAAAAAATAATAATGAATATTACATAAAGCCAAAGCTAGAGAGGATAACACAAAGATTTATGAATATAATTATTATTCTCTTTTATATTAAAATTATTATAAACTTCCTAACATGACCTTCACTATTATTTCTCCCTCATTCATTATCGGTGTGTAAAGTACTTAAGAATTAGGCAGAGATAAAGGCATAATTAAAAAAAAAGTAATTGATATTATCTTGCTCTTGTAAGAAGACAGATAAACAAAAACAAAATATTCTTATAAATTGGACAGATAAAAAGAAACGGCAGAAATATCAACGTTCAATTGCCTACTGATGAGAATGCCACCTTCAAAATTTCTGGGTTTAAAGCATTGGGCCCTTTAGAAGAAAATGCTGCTACCCTGGGTGCAGGTTGAGCCCCTAGAACTGTCTTTGCTCTAAATATCCTTGACACTGGCTTACTGTTCAGTATATAACAGGACACAAGGTTAACTTAAGAGAATGACAATTAAGAAGAGTACTTTAGAGAAACGTCATTTTTTTATTCTCAAATACAAAGAGAGTTTAATTTTAAATACTATGTCAAAGTAAAGATATTTACATAGTGAACTAATTAAAAATTATTCTAAATAGAACTTAAAACTAATTATTATGAAGTCAATGATTTTCAATAAGATGATAATGCAAAAAACTTTTACACCAATTAAATTATACAAAACAAACCGTGTAGTCTTGAGGTAGGACAGAATCCGTTCTCCTGTTTTCTTTCCAACAATAGCTGAAGGGATCACAAATGGGATAGCAATATCTTTATCTGTGTCGTCAATAAGTATCATACCAACTCCACCTGCTCCCTTCACTTCCTTGCTCTTTTGCACCTTTGACTCTGTTGAACTCTCTACATGTCTACACACCATAACCTTGCCTTTGGTCTTTGTTTTATTCAAAGAACTCTCCAAACAGTAACTACAGAAGCGAATAAAGGAGAACAAAATATAACTTAAAACCCATCATTTTGCATTGATTTTTGGGTAGTTCTCACTTTTAAGTACCTTGCTTCACCTGGATTGATAAGGAGTAAATAATCCTGCATTGGCTGCAGAAGCAGAAATTATCCTTGTGGAGGCATTCATTTCAAAGATACTCAAACTTTCACCCTGTTTCATCATGGAAAACCAATCAGGGTGAATTGTCTCCTTTAAAAAAATTAAGGCCTAAATATATTTTATATATGACATTTTTAATTTAGTTTCTATTTAAATTTTACTTATTTTTAATTCTTAAAAATTGTCAAACTGCAAATAGTCCCGTACATGGAATTCTTAAAAACTATATGCTTTTAGTGCTCAACAAGAAACTAAAAATGCAGTATTTTATTGAATGTAAGAACTAAAAATGAATAAAATTTATATAAAAAAACTTAAATAATGTCATATTTTTTAAGAACAAAAAATACATTTAAAAAAAAGAAAAATTAAGACTTAAAAAGTTTTACCGTGATTTTAGCTCCATTTCCCAACAGAATATCAGAAATGAAATCCCTGTCTGTTGAGCTGGCAGCAACAGTGAGCATCCATGGTGCAAGGTTTGTAGCAGAGGAAGGGGTGCCTTCATTTCCAGCTGATGCAACAACCAGCACCCCGCGACTGGCAGCATGAAATGACCCCACAGAAATGGCATCACTGAAATAGTCTCCTTGTGGAGATTCAGTACCCAAAGAAAGAGACAAAATGTGCACCCCATCTCTTATTGCATCATCAAAGGCAGCTAACAAGTCCACATCATAACAACCTGAATCCCAACATGTTTTGTACACAGCAATCCTGGCCATGGGTGCACCTCCCCTTGCTCCTCCACTTCCCAGCCCCTTATAATTCATGTTTGCTACATACCTCCCTGCAGCAATAGAAGCTGTATGGCTCCCATGACCACTGCTATCCCTTGCAGATCTGAAGGATTTTGCATCCCCCTCTTCCTCAGCTTCGTATCCACTCATATAGTACCTGGCTCCAATCACTTTCCTATTGCACAAATTATTAACCATTGAAGATTAATGAACCATTTGGTATGAGATGAAAATGAAAACAGATAGAGGGTAAGATTCATTCCACCACAACCTGTTGCAAGATGAGGCATTAAATGCTTCCCCTGATTGACATTGGCCCTTCCAGCCAGGTGGCACTGCAGGCATGTCTGTGTCACTGAAGCTTGGGGATTCTGGCCAAATTCCTGAGTGAACAGTGAATAGTGGCTATGAATTATACTCATCATCATTCCCATTTCCCATTTATTAACAAAATCCAAGTAATTAATCACTGTCATTCACACCACTGGAGCATTTTCAGTATGGCGCTGCCTGAAGTTCTCAACCATGTTTTTCTAGATGAATACTTAGAATTAAAAGTAGAGAGTTTTGTCTAAAAATAATATTAATGCAACTTCCCTGTGATTTCCGATGCAATGTAACATAATTTGTAATAAAAAAAATTTCCCTTTTGATTCCTTGAGCCACTGATTGGCTAGACAAAGTATATTTAGGTTCTTATTTTAATGCTCTGCAGAAGAGTTGTTCAACTGAAAGAGTTTACTGGTAAGAATTTGACAAACGTAACTATTTCACTTGAAGTCCAGTTTCCAATGCTATTAATTATACTTTCCTTAAGTCTGCTAGTAATAAAAGGAGAGGAATAAAGGGCCCGGAGACCCAGCTAAGAAAGTAATAAATGAAGTGTGGCAGCGAAAATTCTTGTGAACCGACGAATAAATGCAGTTATGCTACATAGAAGTTATCAAATTGTCAAAAAGACTAAAATAAAACTTTCTGCAAAAGGTCACACGGCTGACCTGTATCAATGAAACCAATAATGATATTTTCTTGGTTTCTGATGGAGTAACCAAGAGTCTCCATGGTTTGGTCATCCAAAAGTCCCATGAAATCCCATGAATGAGTTGTATGCAGCTTTCTTTTAGAATTGGGAAAAACAGAAACAACCCCTGGCATTTCTGGTCAAATTTGAAAATTAAGTCACAGAAGCCGTTAGTTTTAGTCCTCACTAAATCAAGCAGCATTAATTACTGAGGGTCAAGTTAAGGAAAAAGGAAAAGGGAAAGATAAACACTGACTTACTTGAAATTTGTGCAGCTTGTTCAACACTGAGCTTGGCGGCAAAGCCTCTGAAACCATGTTGGTAGCTATAAACATGAGAAGCTTGGGCTTGTTCAATGCTGTCAAACCATTCCAACGGAAAAAAAAAATTTTAAAAAGTGCAACTAACAGAAAGACCTATAGAATTTTGCAAAAAGAGAAAAGTGGCATTAATTCTGACCTTCCACTGTGAACATCAGCAAGCATTTGATGGTTTTCCTTCAGAATATCATCTGGGTGTTCCCCAGTTTTGCTTCCCATGTACACTACATAAACCTGCCATCCAAAGCATGTTCCACAGTTCACTTGAGATACCCAAAACCCAGAAATAACCATATAAAAAATTGCTTGAAAAAGATGCCACTGTTTGAGTTTACCTTGGTAGAAAAGCAAAAGCCAACTTTTACAACAAGCACAGCAAGAAACAGATAAAACATTGTACTGCTTGTTGTAGCATAACTAGAAGAAGACATTGTTAAAGTCTCAACCTTTGGTGACTGAATAGCATAATATAGTGATATATAGTAAGGATATTAGGAAACAAGAACCAGATTCTATTAATAAAGAGAGAAGAGTGGTAACCAATTCAAGATTTTGAGAATGAAAAAATGAATAAATAATAAAAGGAAGCCACTAAAAAAAAAAGAGAAGGGAGAGAATCATGGTTGAGGTATCATATTGGTATGTGTCATGTGGTAATAATATTCAACCAGGTTATTTTAATACAATAATAACAGAAAGAGACAAGTATTGCAATGAGAAATTACATGGAGTAGTAGTGGTGCCAAAAGCTAGTAGGACTAGTGGGAAAAGGGTGACTTAGATGATGACTAAGAGAGAGAGAGAGAGAGAGAGAGAGAGAGAGAGAGAGAGAGATGGAGAGAGAGACTAGTGCTTTTGTATCAATGCCAAACAATTAATCGCTGAGGATCATCCAATTTTTTGGTGTCTACCCAAATGTCAATATGACCCTCATATCCCGGAGACTGTTAAAAGCAATGTAATTAACACTCAAGCTTAGTGGATGCAAGGTGGCTTAATGGCCGTGCACAACGCATGTGACATTCCTTATGTTTCGATTCATTATTTTTTATTTCATTTTTTATGTGGTTATATAATATCATATGATCATGTTAAAAAAACCAAAATAATTTTTTATTAAATAAAAAATTATTATAATTAGTTGTACCGTGCATGATTCATTAATTATATCGATAAGAATTACTTTTTAATATAATAATATCATATTACTTGATAACATAAGTGGATTTAAATTTATTTTTAATAAAAAGTAAACGCTAATAAGAATTTTTAGAATAATTTAAAATTTTAAAATAAATATTTTTGTCAAAAAATGTGATTAAGTTTTTTTATAATTTTTAATATAATTTAACATGATACTTTAAAAAAATATATTTTATAAATTTTTCTAATGAATATCCATCCTAAAGACATACATATTAGCTAATATCTTTATCTAATTGCAAAAGGCAGTAAATTTTGTCACATGCGGAGTGTTCCACCCAAAAATAATTGAGGGATAGATGCCCAAATCCCAATCCATAAAGGTGGATCTTATGATATATTACCATTTCGCATGTATGATGCACCAATGCACCAACATGATGATGTAGTTGTGATTTTAGATATGGCACAACTATTCAAGCAAGAAGAGACAAATACGCCATACATTGATAGCCAATCGAGCATGTTCATGGAGAATAACGCCCTTAACCCCCAATGACAGCGAAATACCAACGCAACGGTAACTCCATCCAAATAGCAGAGTATAATTTACGGTTGAAATTTAAATAAATACATATATATATATATATATATATATAGTATTTTTACACAGTCTAAAAATTCTTAGCTTAAGAGTCTTTTATTTTAGTTTTTTATTTAATTTAAATTTAACAAATTATAATTTATTATTTTAATAACCATTAAATTTAAATTAAATAAAAAATTTAAATTGAATATAAAGTTACATTGATATAAATTTTTTTTCTAAATATTATTATAATAATAATAATAAAAATTAAAAATATAAAATAAAATAAATTAAAATTATTTAAACTTATATATTTTTAATAAAAAAGAATCTTTTTATATTAATATAAGTTTAAAAATTTTTAATTCTATCTTAATTTTTTATTTAATTTATATTTGACAATTAATAAAATAAGAAATTATAAATTGTTAAATATAAATTAAATAAAAAATTATAAATTTATTTTGTTTATTTTTAATAGATTATTTATTAATTATATATATTTAATAATAAATATTAAAAAATGTAATTCTCATTTTTGTGTTTTGTTTACGGAATACAGACGCAGAGTCAGAGTGACAGGGCTGCGAAAGGGGAAATTTACCGTTACCCAGCATCATTCTGATGGAATTTCAGTGCCTAAAGTCAACATTCTTTTGGATGTATGCTGAGTAGTTATCTTCACTATGATTTAGCTCACTTGACAGATGTATCATCAATTACTATCATTATGATCAATTTCTTTCATACCCGAAAGCATAATAATTACTTTTCTCAGAAAAAAATAAAAAATTTCCTTAATCATGATATCATTTCTTGCTACCAACATTCCACTGTAGTCATGTAATTGACGGAATCTTAAATCACATCATTGAACATGTTCTATTCCCAAAGCCTAATTTAATTTTTATCCAAACTTCTGTGGCCGACAATTATAAAAGAATGACATATGCTAATGGACACTTTTTCGATTATTAACTGAGACTGATTTAAATATACTTTTGCCCTTCATTTTCATTTTTATATTTTAAATTTAATTTGTAATTTATGTGATTTTATAATTTTATTTAAGTTCCGATCTCTCTAATCTTGTAGGACATATTTTGACATGTTGCCAGGCTTACTTCTTTCTTTCATAGAAATTGTATTTAAATATTGAAATATATTATTAAAATTTTATCGTATTTTTAATATATGTTTAGCATAATTTTGATTAATATTTTATTTATTTACTCTTTAATTAATATCAGCAGGGACTAGAAGCTGTTTTAGTTTAACTTATTTTTCCTTGTTAATAGAACACCCATTTAACGGAAATCAGAATATTCATATGTATAAAAGAAAATCATATTATTTTTTGTTTTTTTCCGGTCAATAATAATAATAATAATTAGTGGCACTTAACACAGGTGAAACCAAGTATATAATTATACATATTTTTCAAGTATAAAGTTGTATAATAAGTACTCTTGATTTAAATCTGATCATTATAGCGGTAAATAATCGATTACTTCCCCCCTTTAGGATAATAGCGCCTTAACTTCATCTGCAAGACAGCTATCTAATACTTACAGTTTTTACCAATTTAATTTGTCCTACAAATTATAATTATTGTGATGATTACCAAAGAACACTCGTTATTATGAATAGGATGATGCGTTATGATTCTCCAATCATGTGATATCTATCTCTTCGCTGCAAGTTTGAGTTTTTAATAATATAACTAGGATAAAAATTTGAATGCAAAGTTTTGAAGTCTATAATAATTTTATCCAATTAAATGGAATTTACTTATTCTTTTAATTTATAGTTTTATATTTTTCTCCTCAAAAATGAACTCTTAAAGGTAGTGATGATAGAAAGTGTTGACCATTACGGAAAGCAGTTACTTGCACCGAAACCCTGTCCTGACATCTGCCAAATTAATTGATTCTATTTCTGTTTTTCACTGTCTTCTACTTTAATCCTTTCTTTGGTTTCTTTCTTGCATCCCATCAATCATAGGCATAACTTTTCGGTTTACTATAATTTACTTTGCCACATCATGAAGGCACAGATAGCAGATTAGCCATAAAAAGGTTCTAATTTAGATAGCTCAACTCTTAGACTTGGACATGTGTGATCACAAGATGTGGATCTATTCTATGATAACATGAGATCTTCATCTTATGAGACAATCAAAGTGACGAGTGATTATTAAAATGATAACATAGTCAGATAGATGCAGCACAGAGGGCAGGTTCACACATGCATTATGTATATTTAAACTACTTCACGGTATATATGAGAATGTAGTGAAATAATATGCGTTTAATTTATGTTTGAATCATCATGAATTTATATATTTTTTAAGTAAATTTTTATATTAAGTTTATATTTATAAATTTTTTAATGTGAATTTAGACATGCATTTAACGTAAAAGTTAAAATACATTTACTCTAATTCATGGATTATCTATAAGACCGTTTAACCAATTTTTTTTTAAAGCAAATGTATTTTTAGTCAAATTGTGGATCAATTATCATAATTTTAAATATATAGTCGTGTACACACATAATTTAGTAGAGAAAAATAAACAAACAAATAAAAGAAAAATAAAATAAAATTACAATATAAGACTCTTTTAGTATATGTCAAAGGTAATTTCAAATATGTAGAGGAGAAATTCAAATTTTGAAACCACAATCTTACAAAACTCTTAATTTAACTAAAAAATTTGTATATGTATTGTTTTCACACATTATGTATAATATGGTAATTTGTCAATCATTTTTTAGTCACTTTTTTATATCTCAAATGAGATTAGTATACTTGTAGAAAGATTGAATAATTTCTATTACAAAATATACGATCTTTGTTGCATTAGAGTAACACAATAAATGTCTGATATTTAAATTTCAAGTTATGTCTACTCAGTATATTAACAAAATTAAAATACATTAATTTTTTATTTGTTAGCTCCAAATTCTAATCCTAGTTAAGATAAGGAGAATGGTTACCTACGAAGTCAAATTAATCTTTGTATTTCACTTACATAATAACTGTTTTTATTTTGTAAAAAAAAAAAACTATTTTAGATTAAAAAGATGTAACAAACCTAAGTATAATAAAGATCCAAATATTAATATGCACATGGAGTTTGAAAAATTTAAGTTCATTTTGATAAATAACTTGTGAAACTATACAGAAAAAATTCTGCATAGCAAGTGAAAGAAAATATGTAATGAGATAGAATTAGTAAAATTACTATAATTGATTTATTTTTTAAAAATATTTTAGAAGAGAAACAACACACACATATAGTAGAATTTAAATGTCTCCACCAATTTTGTTATGTTGTAACATGTAAAATTAAGTGATAACTTACGTTTTTAAGGAGTGAATCTATTAAGTAAGTGATATCTGTGTTATTTTGTTTGTAATGTTTTATTTCTTTTCAAAAGATCTACGTATATGCAAATAGAATGAACAATAATAAAAATTAAGAGCATGTTTGATTTATGTTGAACTGTTTTTAAAAATAAAATTAAACACGTTTTAAATATCTATTTCCACTTTTCAAATTTTAAGTTCTATTTTTTCTCTTTCCCTTGATTATGGTTTTTTTTTTTTATAGTATCAAGAGCTTCATGAATCTTTAAGAGTGTGTTTGAATGCCAAAAAATATCAACAAAGCTTTTCCTTTTTTATACCTTGTAATTGACTCTTCAATATTTTAGAAAATCACTTGGTTAGATATATAAAATTACTTTTAAGATTTGCAATTTTTTGAACAAAAGTAATTTAATTAATTTATGTAAACAAAGATTTTAA